AAGTAATAGTTTCTTTATAAATCAATAAATTTATTACATTTTCAAAAAGTGAATATTTGTGTAAAAAAATTAATCTGTTCAATATTATACATGTAAATTCAGAATTAAACTATGGTTTATTCCATATTCATAATTATAAATATTGTATTGAAAAATTTCTTCTGTGATTTACTCAGTTCAAGGATACTGCATCAAATTCAAGTACTAACTATTTATAAAACAGTAATATAACAATATTATAAAAATCTTTTTAAAAGTCAAGAAGACTTGGATCATCCCAAGTTTGTTGTTGCTGCTGTTGCTGCTGTTGTTGCTGCTGAGATGCTTGTTGTTGTTGACTAACTGGTGCTGATAAGGCTATTTGAGAAACATTTGACTGCAGCTGGGAACGAATATTTGGTTGCATTAAAAGCTGTTGTTGCTGCTGTTGTTGTCGCATTTGTTGCATTTGCTGTAATAAAAGTTAAATGTTAGTATTTGCTATTATATAAAATAATTTAAGCAATATAACTTACATGTTGTAATAAATGCCTTAGCTGTGGATTAGCATTACTTTGTGAGACTGATTGTTGCTGAGACAATTGTTGTAATCTCTGCTGCTGCTGCTGCTGTTGTTGTTGCAGTTGATGAAGTTGCTGAAGAAAAAATCGTTTAATGAATACATATTTTACTGTATAAGATAAATTCACAATATATCTCAGCTTATTTTGACCTAACATTGGTTAATTTAGTTATTTTCTTAAATAATAATTAAAAGATCAGCAGTTAATCATTAATGCACAACTGATAATCTGAGAGTAGAAGTGAGGCATGGTCAAACTATTTTGCAAGTTTTTTTGTCAAATTCTGATTACAAACACTAAACATAGGCAAATTCCTTTACACATATTTATACTTATATTCACAACCTACCCAAAAATAATATAAAATTGGAGAAATAACAGTAATATTAAAAATTAATATCTATAAATTTTTCAAAAAAATTACATGCTCAAATATTTTTATTGGTTTCAGGTAAAAAAATTACGCCTCATCCTGCTGAAGTAAAATTTATAAAAATTTGGAAATCTTGCATTTATTTAATTGTGTTTTTAATTGCAAACATAAATGTGAATAAAATTAATGTATATAAAACAGTGTCAAGAAATGCTGTTCTGCAGTATGTTCTTCAAACAAATATTGAATAATTAAATTGCCTAAATTACAAAAATGCTAACCTGATTCTCACAAATATATAACATACTTGTGCCTGCCAATCTACAATTTATGTACAGTTTTTGCCCACAAATCAATAAGTTTTGGCACCACTGCCTTAGAACATGATTTGTTTTTCCTTAAATTCTGCTGTCAACTGACAAGCAATTATTTTGTTGTGACATTGTCACAATGTCAGGCTGCAATTTTTAATCATATTTTTAATTTATTTAATTTAAAATATATATTCTCAACCTTCAAATTAGCAGTGTCTTGCCCCCATACATCATAGTTTTCCTTTAGCAATCAAGTCATGCCAGTTATCTAACTCCTTTCAGGGAAAAATTTTTGAATTGAAATAACATGACTTCCAGTTTGCATAGGAAGTTCATATATAGTTAATCAGGTTTATAGTTAATATAGTTTTTCATATCTGGTCTCATCTTTCATGTATCTAACTCCAATTTTGAGATTAATTAATTAAGGAAAGACAGATAGATGGACAACAGTGGGAATTTACTGGTCTACAATGTGCTTCGAAATTGCAGCCCAATAATGAACACCTTCACTGGATGCTCCTTCCATCATAAGAAATTTTATTGATTCTTTATTCTCGTTGTAAAATAATGCCTGAGACCAAGCATTTATTGCAATTACTGCAGATGGGATTGATTTTCTAGCAAGACAATATATGTCCCACACAGTGCAGCAGATGGGTTGGAAAGTATTGCAGCACTCTCCATACAGTCCAGAATAGACACAAATTTTCATTTGTTTTTAACTGTAAAAGTTAGTGATAAGCTAGAAGTTCACCAATAATGAGTAGATGCAAAGAAATATTATTCATCTCCAATATGATACCTCCAAATATTTCTACATCATAAACTTGAAAGTTAATAGAACAATGGAATAAGTATCTGTACAGATTGACTATATGGAGATGTAATCAATATCAGTAAAGTGGAAAACAACATTGAAAATAAAAAAAATTCTAGAATTAATTGGGAATTCCTTGCACACATTAATGTTTATATTATTTTTTTCCTGCATTTAACTAGTTATAAATATTTAAATATTTTAAAATCAATAAAATTTTTTGAAAAAAACACAAAAAGTTAACAAATGTATTTAATTTAATTGCTATAAAAATCAATAAGCATCAAGCATTTGTATATTCAAGACAAAATAAAAAGTAATAGTTTCTTTATAAATCAATAAATTTATTACATTTTCAAAAAGTGAATATTTGTGTAAAAAAATTAATCTGTTCAATATTATACATGTAAATTCAGAATTAAACTATGGTTTATTCCATATTCATAATTATAAATATTGTATTGAAAAATTTCTTCTGTGATTTACTCAGTTCAAGGATACTGCATCAAATTCAAGTACTAACTATTTATAAAACAGTAATATAACAATATTATAAAAATCTTTTTAAAAGTCAAGAAGACTTGGATCATCCCAAGTTTGTTGTTGCTGCTGTTGCTGCTGTTGTTGCTGCTGAGATGCTTGTTGTTGTTGACTAACTGGTGCTGATAAGGCTATTTGAGAAACATTTGACTGCAGCTGGGAACGAATATTTGGTTGCATTAAAAGCTGTTGTTGCTGCTGTTGTTGTCGCATTTGTTGCATTTGCTGTAATAAAAGTTAAATGTTAGTATTTGCTATTATATAAAATAATTTAAGCAATATAACTTACATGTTGTAATAAATGCCTTAGCTGTGGATTAGCATTACTTTGTGAGACTGATTGTTGCTGAGACAATTGTTGTAATCTCTGCTGCTGCTGCTGCTGTTGTTGTTGCAGTTGATGAAGTTGCTGAAGAAAAAATCGTTTAATGAATACATATTTTACTGTATAAGATAAATTCACAATATATCTCAGCTTATTTTGACCTAACATTGGTTAATTTAGTTATTTTCTTAAATAATAATTAAAAGATCAGCAGTTAATCATTAATGCACAACTGATAATCTGAGAGTAGAAGTGAGGCATGGTCAAACTATTTTGCAAGTTTTTTTGTCAAATTCTGATTACAAACACTAAACATAGGCAAATTCCTTTACACATATTTATACTTATATTCACAACCTACCCAAAAATAATATAAAATTGGAGAAATAACAGTAATATTAAAAATTAATATCTATAAATTTTTCAAAAAAATTACATGCTCAAATATTTTTATTGGTTTCAGGTAAAAAAATTACGCCTCATCCTGCTGAAGTAAAATTTATAAAAATTTGGAAATCTTGCATTTATTTAATTGTGTTTTTAATTGCAAACATAAATGTGAATAAAATTAATGTATATAAAACAGTGTCAAGAAATGCTGTTCTGCAGTATGTTCTTCAAACAAATATTGAATAATTAAATTGCCTAAATTACAAAAATGCTAACCTGATTCTCACAAATATATAACATACTTGTGCCTGCCAATCTACAATTTATGTACAGTTTTTGCCCACAAATCAATAAGTTTTGGCACCACTGCCTTAGAACATGATTTGTTTTTCCTTAAATTCTGCTGTCAACTGACAAGCAATTATTTTGTTGTGACATTGTCACAATGTCAGGCTGCAATTTTTAATCATATTTTTAATTTATTTAATTTAAAATATATATTCTCAACCTTCAAATTAGCAGTGTCTTGCCCCCATACATCATAGTTTTCCTTTAGCAATCAAGTCATGCCAGTTATCTAACTCCTTTCAGGGAAAAATTTTTGAATTGAAATAACATGACTTCCAGTTTGCATAGGAAGTTCATATATAGTTAATCAGGTTTATAGTTAATATAGTTTTTCATATCTGGTCTCATCTTTCATGTATCTAACTCCAATTTTGAGATTAATTAATTAAGGAAAGACAGATAGATGGACAACAGTGGGAATTTACTGGTCTACAATGTGCTTCGAAATTGCAGCCCAATAATGAACACCTTCACTGGATGCTCCTTCCATCATAAGAAATTTTATTGATTCTTTATTCTCGTTGTAAAATAATGCCTGAGACCAAGCATTTATTGCAATTACTGCAGATGGGATTGATTTTCTAGCAAGACAATATATGTCCCACACAGTGCAGCAGATGGGTTGGAAAGTATTGCAGCACTCTCCATACAGTCCAGAATAGACACAAATTTTCATTTGTTTTTAACTGTAAAAGTTAGTGATAAGCTAGAAGTTCACCAATAATGAGTAGATGCAAAGAAATATTATTCATCTCCAATATGATACCTCCAAATATTTCTACATCATAAACTTGAAAGTTAATAGAACAATGGAATAAGTATCTGTACAGATTGACTATATGGAGATGTAATCAATATCAGTAAAGTGGAAAACAACATTGAAAATAAAAAAAATTCTAGAATTAATTGGGAATTCCTTGCACACATTAATGTTTATATTATTTTTTTCCTGCATTTAACTAGTTATAAATATTTAAATATTTTAAAATCAATAAAATTTTAATCAAAATTTAAATGCAATAAAATATTTGTTTTTGATTACAAACATACGACTTTTTTGCCTTTATAACAAATGTTATGCCAAAATCAAAAATAATAAAAATCATTAATAATTAATAAATGACTTGAAAAAATAGTAAAATTTAATAATCAATATATATTATAAAGGAAAGTGTACAATGTGCGTGCCGCTAAAACTCAAAAACGAGTCCCAGTATGATCAAGGGAGTTATATGGTGTGGTAGCCCTCTATCCCCCATCCATGAAGAAGGTTCCTGTTTTTACCTNACATACCTGATCAAAACTATTTATATTTCTTATTTCTTATCTATTTCTTAAACTATAAGGACAATTATAATCAGTAGGTTTACATTATTCATAAAAGTAAAAACTTCTAAACTTGTTGAATTAATTAAATAATCTTTTAAAATTGATCTTCAAAACTTGTTACTGAAGATATCAAAACTCTGCCTCTTTCACATTTAATGTAAATTTGTTAAATTTCGTTTATATTTTTAAAATGTGTTTTAAAGGTTAATGTCCATAATTGAAACCAAACTCCAAATTATAAATGTACAAACTCATTTTATTGAAGTTTCACAAATAAACAAATACTTTGTAATCTTAATAGCTTTTGAGTTTTATAACTATTTTTTAGGAGTAAAATCATTAAATTCTAGCTTAACTTAAGATAGATACAATTTTCAAACACATCCTAAGATTAATCAAATTTTTATTCAAAAATATTCTAAATTTTATTTTAAATCTTTATTTGTACTAGAATTTAATGCTTCCATTCTTAAAGATGAGTTATAAAATTTAAAATTTAGTTAAACTATCTACCCATTCCAAAAAATAATTTTCAATTTCAGTTAATATTCAGATTTTAACAAATAACTTTATGTAAGAGTTGATCAAGTAACAACAAATGAAATATTTATGTATCAATTTATAGAAAAAGTTTAACCAAAAGTTTGATCAAAAAAATTTTAATAGAAATTATCACCAGAGACAAAAACTTCAACATTTACATGATAGAGAAGCTGATTTAAACAATGTTAAATAAATCTTAAGATCAACTGTCTCTGGTTAGGATTGGAATTTGGTATTGAATTAAATGTTGACTTTTCCCATGGTCTGAATTGGTCTTGAGTTATACCTGGAGACACGTAGTGACCAATTGATATGAGCAAGCAAAGATCAAAATAGATATAAAACCATGTCTCAAGGACATGAGGTGATTCCTTGTGTTCTTTTCTACAAAGGTTCCTTTTGTTTCTTCTTACAGAGGTTCCGTGCCTTTTGAAGTCCTCTTTGATAAGTCCCTATATTGGTTGTGTGCAATGGTGATATTCAAAATATTTAACAAAGGATTTGCTAACAGAAAATTTTTCCTTAACAATTTCTTTTCGCTCAAATGGTGCATTAGCAACATTAGTGCAAAAACTGACCTTAAGATACCCATATAAATAAAAAAGATGCGTTCGCAAAATTAAGTCAGTTAAAATTTAATATTGTTTATGCCAGAACTATATTTTTTTGATAAATAATAAAAAAAGTGTTCAAAATGATTTATTTTGTACATATTTTAATATTTTTCATTCAAAATATTTTATAAACATAAAAATTGGCTTTTTTTTTAATCAGATAAAGTCATATGGAAAGCAGGTTTAATTGCTTTCCTTATGACTTTTTCTCAAGAAAAAACTTTTCAAAATCATTTATTTTATCATTAGGTATTATTATAATAATAGACAGATGTCATCGTCTCTCGAAATACAATATCTTTTTTATTTCGCTGTCAATAGCATGACACGTGTTCCACAGCCATCTTGTATTTTCTCGCATGCGTGGGATTGTGGGATCTCTCATATGACTGGACCTAGTTTCAAGAACTCTCGAGTCGATCGCGATTAAACCTTGTTTCAGTTGAGATTGAAATGGTTGATGGAGGTTGCACCAAGGCGAATGGGGTATAAGGCTCTAGTTTAGTAGTGTTACAGAGTATAATATGTATATTTTAATAAATTTTTTTTAAAAAGAAACAAAACCACTGAGAAATGTTACGCGTGTTTAACAGTGGTTTCGGAAAACTTTGAAAATGTTAACAATGGGTTAGGCTGAACCTGCGCAAACCCGCTGAATATCACCACTGCTTGTGTGTTCTTTCTTGAATCTGTTTTACCTGATCGGTTCCATTCTTTGATTAACCTTGACTGACTTGTCTGATCTGTTTTATTTCCTACACACTGGTGAATCCATTATACCAGTCTTGCTGCCTGGTACAATGACAAGGATTAAACATTGTTTTTGGACTGCTAATCTCCTTGGTCTGAAGTTGACAAGATCCATTCAATGAACAGTCCAAAGTTCAACATAAGAGTTCTCGATGACAGAAAAGAATCTTCAAAGTAGTATGACAGCAGAGCATGATTCGCAAACAGACATAATAGTTGTTCACTGATTGGGCCTGGTTAACCTCAAACCAAGAGGATTATCAATCCAAAAAATGATGTTAAACCTTGTCATTGTACCAGGAGACAAAGCTGGAGTCACTATAGTGTGGGAAATACAATGAGTTGAGCAAGTCAGTCAAAGGTTGATCAAAGAATGGAGCTGATTTGAAAAAGAATACACAATGCAGGAACCTATCAAAGGAAACTTCAAAAAGCACAGAATCTCTGTAAGCAAAAACAAAAGGAATCTTTGTTCAAAAGAATGCAACAAGGAACCTCATATCCCTGGTTTTGGTTCATATCCCATTGGAAGTTTTCAATGTTTAATTCAATGCTGATTTCTGATCCCAACTGTAGACAATTGATCTTAAAAGACATATTGTTTAAATCAGTTCCTCTATCACATCAATTTTGAATGAAACTTTTGTTTCTCTTGATAATTTCTTCTATTAAAATTTTTTTGATCAAACTTTTGAGGAGGATTTGGACACAGTCCAGAGCCTCAGGAAATGTATTTATTACTGGAAATGTCATCAAAAATTTCAATTTGTTTTGTTACAATACAATTTAAATTCTCTACTAATTGATACAAATAATTAGAATGTATTAAATATTATTCCTTAAAGAAACCATCTACATTGTGTACTAAAATGTATCACTCTTGAAATGTTTTTTTAATCATTTTTATCTCATGTTAATCAACTTTATTTAATTGTTGTAACTGAAATTTATTTATACTTAATTTTTTGTAAATTAACCATAAATAATAAAAAAATATAAAATTTATTTAAGTAACAGAATACATAATTAATATCATTACCTGGTTGAGATGTGACAAATCCAGACTGAGATTGTGATACAAGAGTTGAAAGTTGAACATTCTGTTGAGATGGATGGCCAACATTGGCAATACCAGGTGCAACAGACAGCTGATTTGCTAATACACTGGTAGTTGGTGGAGTTGATACAGGAGATGAGGGATTTGTTGCTTGATTCCAAATACGAGATCCTAAATAAAAATAAAAATATATTTAAATAATATTCACAATTTTAAAAACTAAACTATTTTAATTTAATAAAATATGTATTACCAAGAGGGACAGGAGATTGGCCCCTTGTTGGTCTGTTAATGTTATCAACATGCTGTGTTGTTAACTGCTGAGATTGTGTGGTTTTTGTGGTAATAGTAACATTTGGTGGATTTGGCTAAAAATAAATTATGATTTTATTCTTAGATTATAACAAAAAAAAATTAAATTGCAATATACTGTACTTGATTCATAGCAGACAGATGAGAAGATGGAGGTGTAGGAACACCCCCTCTTGATGGTACACTAGATCCATACGTAACTCCTGTTGTAGTAGATGATGCTTGTGGTGTTGATTGTTGAGGTGATGCTAAAAAATTGAAAGCAACATTAAAACATTATATCTAATTATTAAATGTAACCATAATATAACCTGATATAATCCAGCATATTGCTTGATATAAAAACAGTAAGATTTTGAAAAATTGAAATTAATAAATTTAATTAAAATTTTTAAAAATATTCCAAACAGTACACAACATAACATAACATTCTAAAAACTATAAAATAATAAATCCCCTTCTTAACTGAAATTATATAAATTTATAAAGCAATCTTCATAAAATTAAAAAATATATTTGTAAATGTTAAATAATTAAAATAATTTTGTAATTGCATAAAATTATGGAAGGAAATAAAATTATATACATAAAATCATTCCAATACTTTGTACATGTGATAATGTTGGTAAATATTATATATATATCAGGTCAGTCCATAAATTCGTGCGTATTTTTATCTACAAAAAAAGCAACAAAAAATTTTAATTAAATCTTATTTCAATCTATAATGTATTCACCATTATTTTGTACAATTTCTTGCCACCTTGATGATAGCTTTTTAATCCCGTCTTCGTAAAATTATTTCGGTTTTGAATCAAAATATTCAGAAATAGCCTTTTTTACATTGTTCTCATCCTCAAAAGTTTTCCCTTTTAAAAAATTCTGCAAACTCCGAAAAAGATGATAATCACTGGGAGCAATATCTGGAAAATATGGTGGATGGAGTAAAATTTCCCAGTTGAAGCTTTTGAGTTTCTCTACAGTTATTTTTGCAGCATGTGGTCTGGCATTGTCATGTTGCAAGAGAACCTGCTTTCTGTTCACTAATGACGGTCAATTTTTTTTCATTTAAACGCTCTAATTGATCACAATACATTTGAGCTGTAATTGTTTGATTAGGTTCTAACAGCTCAAAGTGAATTATACTTGACACATCCCACCAAACAGACAAAAGAATTTTTTTTGGATGCAACCCACCTTTTGCAGCCGGTTTTGGCTGCTCGTCGCGATCTGTCCAATGTCTTTTTCTCGTCACATTATTATAGAGGATCCATTTTTTTTGTCTCCAGTAACCAGCCGATCAAGAAAAGGTTCCAAAGTAATGCGGGATAAAAGAGACGTGCAAATGTTTACATGTTGTTGTCGGTTAGCTATTGACAGTTCATGTGGTATCCATTTTCCTAGCTTTGAAACTTTTCCGATTTGTTGTAGATGTCTATGAACAGTTCCATGGGATGAATTTAAACGTTCTGCAATTTCATCAACTGTTAAAGATGGTTCTGCTTCAACTAGTGCAGAGAGAGCATCATCATCAAAGTCAATGGGTCTTCCAGTACGAGCCTTATCCTCCACACTAAAATCATTATTTCTAAATCTTTCAAACCACTTCTGCGCAGTCCTTACACTAATTACAGTTTGGTTATGAACAGTATTTAATTTTTTGGCTGCATTTGTAGCATTCTCATCACTTAAAAATAAAAAGTGTAAAGCATGTCTCTTATATTCATCTGTTACTTCCATTTTAATGAAAATAAACAACTGAAATGTTCCCAATTCTGAACAGTATTATATGAATGAGATCCAATTTAACACTTCAGTGTAAAAGGTATCACATTAGACTGGCATTTTTAACAGCAAAATAAGATTTTTCTCAAGGTCTTAAAATACGCATGAACTTATGGACTGACCTGATACATTACTTCCAATATTTTAATATGATTTATATTTTCTCTCTCAACAGTAATATAATTTTCAATTTTTGTTCCTTTTTCTGAATTAATGAAATAAAATTTTAGAAATTTTTATATACATCTATTTTTTTAATGGCAATTATTACTAATTTAAAACAAATTGAAAAGTGATTAGGAATGTAGAATTTGAAGATAAGAAAGATGCTACAGTTATGATTATTATTTTCAAAATCATAATTGTGAAATGATTTGTTGGTTACAAACAATTTCACCAACTTTCAAATGACATCAAATGTCATGCTTCAGAGTCTTTTGCAACATCCAAATTATTTATCAGATGGTAACAGCACATTGTTCCATCAATATAGCTAAATGACATAAATAGCATTTTGTTATGTGTAGCAATGCATCTAAATTCTGCCTTGGGCTCACAATTATTGAATATGTGTTTGGAGATGACATAAATTCAGTGTTTGTCTGTGAGTACTACATTGCCCACTTACTGGGTATTCTCATTAAAAGTGTCAATTGGAGTTGGAGTTACTAGAGTCAGTAAAATTCTTTTGACTCCAGTGATTGACTTTGAATTTTACTATTGATAAAATGTGAAGTATGAAAAATAGTTTTTAATTAGAAACTAAAAATTTTTAGAAAATGGACTGGTAAATTTAGATATCAAAATGATATTCATCTATAAAGGCCATTTTAAACCAAAATTTTGTATATATCACAGGGGCTCTATACTGAGAAAATAGCTTTAATTAATTTAAACAAATATACAGTAGAGTCCTGTACAATGCAGGGGATTCGTTACACATTATCAGAAATCGTGTTATCAAAACCTGAATTATCACATGATTTATGAAAGTTTAAACCTTGGCCTATAAGTTAAAAAAACATATACCTCTGATCGACAAAATTTGAGGGTGTTGCTTGCTTTATTTGCACGTTGTACAGGACTCTACTGTATCACATCACCTAAAGAGCTGTGCCTTCTATATAATGTATGGTACACGGGCTATGACTCAATCAAAAATCATGAAAAGATTTTTGCACAATACCTCACTAACTTTCCATTTGTGAAAAAAAATATCTTAACCTTTATATTTTATTATTGTTTTTTCAAGTAGTTCATATGATACATGAAAAAATTGAAACTAAGTAGCATATGAACCACTCAAAAAGCAAATGAATTTTTCAATGTATGAGTGTATTGATTGATTCGTTTTAGATATTGGCAAGCAACATGAGGGTTATCTGCCAATCAGGGAATGTGCCTTCCAGAAGGCATTTTAATGGAAACTGACCCATACTTGGATATTAGCGACATGACGAAAACCCAGAAAACTTCACAAACCAGCCCATCAGCCTAATCCAAGCCTACTATCAGCGTTTAAGAATCAAATCCACTTAGCCACTGATGCAGTATGGGTATAGGATGGAGAACCATTAATGCACCAATGGATTCTACTTGGAAAACCTTTTGCACCTTTTCACCTGTCTGTAGGAAATTAACTATTGCTATAGTAGCCAGAGTAGGAAAAACTATTTTCAACAGACCAATGTATTGCATCATTCATCAAATTGTTTTTTTGCATTTTATTGTATTTAAGTTTTCTCTGTGAAATGATTAAATTTAAATCAATTTTTGATAAGTAACCAATAAAAGTGAATTATTTTGGCTGATTAAGATGTAGTATGTTTGTTTTGAAGTTGGCAAGCTTAGGTTATTGAGCATTTTAACTCTTTCTTGAACATTAAGTAAATAAAAAGAGAAACGATATGCATAAGAGAATTCAAAAAACTAAATGTAATACAATTATTAAAGAAATTCAAATTTTTAAGAAAGATATGTTTATGAAGACTACAGTTACAATGTTATTTTATAATCACACAGTTTACAAATTATATTATTAATCTGTTAAATAGTGATTACGGTAGAACTCCAATTATCCAAGTCCCAATTAACTATATTACTCGAACCAAACATTTGTCTTAAACACTGCTTTTTTTATACTGTAATTCATAAAAACTTTACTCTAAATATACTGAGCATGTAAATACTGTAGTACTTTTAACCTCAACTGTCCAAGTAAGTGGCTGATGCAAAGCTGTGATGCAAAACATTGAGGCAAAGAAGGAAGGAACAATGTAAAACAAAAAGCTCTGAAGATCTTTTTTAAAGAAATAACATATATCATAAAATGATTTGTTTCTGTTAATTTTCTTTTCATTTAATTTCAACGAGAGACAAACTATTCATTAAAATGTAAATACAATAATACGCATGTTAATTCTTAAACTATTATACACATTAACGGTATAATACATGATGTAAAAATGTTGTTCTTATACATGATTAAATAATTCACTATGGTATAAAAAGAAGCAGAAAAGTGATATTCCAAATATAAATCTTTTATATTTTTATTAAATAGTTTAATAATTTATATTAATAACTCTTAATCCTAAATGGCAGTAGGCATCTGTTTTATCCAAGTATTCACTTATCTGAGGTACACTATATGGCCAAAAGTATCCGGACACCAAGTAGTACGGACTCGGAGAGTCCTGAGGCATATATTAATATGATGTTGGTCCTCCTTTTGCATCGATGACAGCCTGTACACGTCTGGGGAGACTTTCCACTAGTTTTTGATAGGTGGCCATTGAAATTGACTTTCAAACCCTAAAGAAGTGGATCTGGCAGGTGATGGTCGTTGATGCGTAACTGAAACGTATGAAAGTGTTGGTAGTTTTTTTCAGGTCATATTTATGCATTTGTGAGACAATGAGTAAGTCAAAAGAGCTTAGTAAGTTTGATCGTGGCATTATAGTGGGATGTCACCTTTGTGGGAAATCAGTTTGTGAAGCTTCAGACATTGTACAGAAGCCAAAATCCACTGTGAGTGATGTAATTGTGAAGTGGAAACGTCAAGGCAGTGAAAGTGGAAAAAACGATGTGGCAGGCCGAAGAAAATGAGTGAATGCAGCCGTAGAACCCTGAAAAGAACAGTGAAACAAAGTCGCACGTCCTCGTTGGTTGAAATCACTCAGGAGTTCCAAAGGTCATCAAACATTAGTATTAGCACCAGGACTGTTCGTCGAGAGTTAAAAAACCTGGGATTCCATGGTCGTGCAGCCGCTCACAAGCCAAACATCACTCCCCAGAATGCAAAGCATCGATTGCAATGGTGCAAAGCTCACCATCATTGAACTGTGGACATGTGGAAAAGTATTCTTTGAAGTGATGAATCTCGCTTTACAATCTGGCAGTATGATGGAAGTATCTGGGTTTGGCAGATGCTCGGGCAAGCGCTTTTTACGTGACTGTATTGTGCCGACTGTAAAGTTTGGTGTTGGCAGCATCATGATGTGGGGGTGCTTTTCATGGTTTGGCCTGGGTCCCTTAGTTCCTGTGGTTGGAAACATGAACTCTAAGATGTATGTGGACATTCTGGACAATGCTGTGCTCTCCCAACTCTATGGAAATATTTTGGGGAAGGCCCATTTCTCTTCCAGCAGGATAACTGCTCCATTCACACATCGAGACTTGTGCAGGCATGGTTTGATGAAATGGGTGTTCAAAAACTGGACTGGCCTTCTCAAAGCCCTGAACTAAATCCCATAGAACACCTTTGGGACGAATTAGAACGCAGATTATGTAGTCAGCCACATCAACCATCCTCACTGCCAGCACTCATTTCAGCCATGATGGATGCCTGAAAGTCAATTCCAATGGCCACCTATCAAAAACTAGTGGAAAGTCTCCTCAGACGTGTACAGGCTGTCATCGATGCAAAAGGAGGACCAACATCACATTAATATATGCCTCAGGACTCTCCGAGTCCGCACTACTTGGTGTCCGGATACTTTTGGCCAGATAGTGTAGCATCAGTCTACATTACTTCAGATAATGTAGACTGATGCTACACTATCTACATATACTACATATACTACAGTGGGGTTTAGTGGGTTTTACTCGGTTCACACCGGTGGCTGTGTACTATGCCGGACCAGAGTCAAGGCATAGCAACCAAAACAAAACTAAAATTAAATAAGTGTGTCAGTGTCTGTATTCAGGAATTTCCTAACAATGTGGCATGTATTCAATATAGCAGCCTTCTGTAGTGTTATGTATGTATTTCTACTCAATTCTAATGTTCCCAGGCTTTTGTGTAGTGTGTGTGGTATCACACCTGTACTGGAGAGAACAACAGGTACAATAAGCACCCTATGGCCTCCACAGATGCCTTATTTCCTGAGCAAGTTCTGTGTACTTGCTAATTTTTTCAGTACATGTGTTTTGTACATTGTGAGTGTTTGGAATGGCTATGTCTATAATGTATGTGATTTTATTGTGTTTGTCAATGAGTGTGATGTCTGGTCTGTTGTGGTAAATTGTTTTATCTGTGATTATGGCTCTGTCGTAGTACATTTTGTGTGTGTTGTTTTCCAATACTGTCTGTGGAATATACTTGTAGTATGGCTCGTGAATGTCTACCAAGTTGTGTTTCTTTGCAAGCTCTTGGTGTATTATATTTGCTACTTGATTATGTCTGTGTAAATAATCTGTCTGTGTCAAGAGCTTGCACCCAGAAGTGATGTGTTGTATAGTTTCTGGCATGATGTGACATTTTCTGCATGTGTCATTTGTGAGTGTTGTATCTTTGAGTATGTGTTTTCTGTAGTTTTTAGTGTTTATGACCTGATCCTGTATGGCAATCATGAATCCTTCCGTCTCCCCAAAGAGGCATCCCCGATCTAACCAGCTATTTGATGCAGTTTTGTCAACAAAATCCTGGGCCAGGTCATAAGGATGCCTACCATGGAGTGCCTTTTGAGCCCACGATTGCTTGATGGTGCCTATGCTTTTTATGTGTTGTGTCATGTCTGTGTGTTGTGAGTGTAAGTTTAATGGTGTGCTATTTGAATCTGCTAGAGTTACTGCTTTATGTAATTGTGATGTTTCTTGTTTCCTGTAGAAAAACTCTTGCAGTGACTGTAGTTGTTTGTAGTGAAGGTTAACTATGTCAATCAGGCCACGTCCGCCATCTTTACGTGGAAGGGTTAATCTTTCTGTGGCGGATTTAGGATGATGCTGTTTATGCTTAGTAAGTGTTGTTCTTGTTTTCCTTTGGAGTTACTTGAGATCTGTGTGAGTCCAATGTATAACTCCAAAAGAGTATGTGAGTACTGGGATGACATATGTGTTTATTGCTTTAACTGTGTGTTTTGCATTTAGCTGTGTTTTGAGAATGGCATTTAACCTACTTTGGTATTCTTTAATTAATCTTTGCTTTATTTGTGTATGTTCTGTTAGTTTGGCCTGTTGGAATCCTAAATACTTGTAGAACTCGCCCTCTTCCATGGATTCAATAACGTCTCCATTTCCAAGTGCAAAATCTTCTTTCTTCAGGATTCCTTTATCTATGTGTAGTTTTTTGCATTTGTCTAAGCCAAACTCCATTTGTATGTCCTTGGTGTATGAATGTGTGATTTGTAGGAGTTGATGAAGTTGTTTCTGTGTTATTATTATTATTATTATTAATTCTTTAAATAATCATTTACTCAAGTAAGGTTTCATATAACATACTCTATGTCAGTGTTTTTCAACCTTTTTCTCATTGCAGACCAGTAAAATTATGGATAATTTTATGTGGACCAAATAATTATATGCAACTACAATTTATGCTTATATGTGCTTATCTAGCATTATCACACAAAGTACATACAGTTACTCTGGAATTACTATTTAAATGTCACATACACAATCAACTGTAACAGCTTTAGTATGGTCAAACAGTGATGAAATTTTTTTGCAGATCAGCAGTTGAAAAACACTGCTCTGTATGATATTCACATGTATAATGCACAGCTGTTATTATATACATATATATAATAACAAACATACATGGGACAGTGATATTCAATACAGTCAAATTCCTAACAGTGAGGAATTGTTAGTTCACTTCATAAAATATATACTTATTCCCTAATTGTTAAAAAAAACTGTTTAATACTGTATAAAAAAATGACAATCTTATACTTTGAAAACTTTTTATTCTATGGTGAATTTAAGTTTCTATAACTGTATTGATTTATAAAATTTATAAAATAAAGTACAATCATTTTGTGCAGTTTATTATTTATAATATAACATTTATCATTATCAAATAAGTTTTAAAATTTAATTTGTATAATTTACTTTTTAAATCTTTTATTATACTGTACATGTATTTCAGGTCCTAAAGTAGAACTATTTTAAAAAATATATAAAGTTATACTTTAGGACCTGAAATACATTTATAGTATAATTCTATTTTATACTGTTTGTTTGTTAGACCTGATAAATGTAATTTACTTTATTTATTCAATAACATTAATTATAATGAAAAGAATAATTTATCAAAAATTACAATGGAAAATGAAACAACCTTGAGTAGTTGCTGGTTGTTTGAATCCAGTGTTTTCTCTTGTATTAGGTGGTGAACCAGATGATGGTCTCTTTTGACTACCAGATGTAGGACTTCTGGCTGAAGGCAATGGTGTAGAAGTTGGAGCAACGGTTCCTTTTCCTTCTAAGGCAGGTGGTGTCATTGGGCGTTCTAGAATAGAATTGGTTGTTTATATCTATAACTTTTTATAGCAGATAAAAATTTCATTTTTAATGTAAAATAAAATTTAAGAAAATAAAACAAAACTATTTTTAAAAAATATCAAAAATAAAAGGATAAAAAAGTTATTGCATAAGTAAAATAGATTATTACTTTATTAATCTAAAATTGCATTAGTTCAAATAATCTGATACAATCTTAGTGATCCTCTCTGCTTCAATTTTTCTATCATCTGATAAAGACAAATGAGTGAAAACCCTCAATTAGAGATCTGAATGCTACAAGTTTGTGCAGAACTGTGTCAAAAGAATACCAATAAATATAGGTTTAGCAAAACTGTTGGTATTTTTATTTTAATCCTTCTTGCTCTCCTTTTCTGTTTTAGATTTTTGCATTACCATATGATTTTTGTGCATCATCATTTAGGGCTTATTACACTTGGTATCTTTCTTATTTTATTATTTATTTAAAATTAATTTACAAATTATATTACATATTATCATCTGAACTTTATCTAATATATCATTTAATACATTAAATCCTATCCTTCAAAATGCATTTCAGCTGAATGCCCTCATCAGTTGACTCTAATACAAGCTCTAAATGAAGCTACACAAAGATAATATAGTAATAAGAACATCTAAAACTTTTGATGTTTTGTAGATAGCAAAATGTAGGAAATTTACAAGTTCAAAATTCTATTGTTCTAGTTCTAACTTAATCAGGGGTCATGCTATCAATTGCAAAAGTTACATTCATCTGGTGATTGGAGTGACAAATAGCCAGAGAGCACTCTGGAAGAAAAAAAAAAAGGTCACTCAATGAAAAGAAATATCACAGAAGATGAATCAGTCCAATACAATTTTTACTGTTAATAAACAAAAATAAAGTTGCTTAAGAAACTGCATGAAAACTGCATTTTATTTTTATATTGTCTGTCATCCTTTCATTTCAAGTTGGTACAAATTGTCAGCAAGCAAAAAAGTAACCTGCAAATAAATTTCTATTTTGGTAAATAAAAAAATGTTTGGCAATTGCTATAAAAAAAGCCAGCAATGCATTAATGCCAACTTGATTATTGTTCATATCTTTCATAAACCTTTCAACTGTTCTTTGTCATGCAAAATATTACTATAGTAGAAGTTTATTAATCCAGTCCCTATGAAAGCAACATGATGCCTGGTTATCAAAAATGCTGACTACACATTTTTGTATTTTCTCAAAATTCAATATGTTGTAAGTAATCTTAACATTGCAGATATTGCTGTACATTTTTTACCTCCAAACAATATAATGCTAAAATTGATTGAAAAACTGCAAATATATTATTGCACAAAATCAATATTCACAAAGATTCACATACATATAATATTTATTTTCCAGACGTATTGTATGAGGGCCCAGACTTGACAAAAAATTTTTGGATGAAAGAAAATAATAATTTTTTTTAAAATTAAATTACGCTAAAATTTTCCCAATGAAAAAAATATTTAATTGTAAAGGATATGTCTGTATCTTTCGCTGGAGTCACTTCCTTTTCCAGGTGACACATCAAATGTGTCACCAAGAAACTAACAACCCAAAATTCACTACTGGACAGGAAAATCAACATTACCAAAAATGGACAATAGAAGAAAGAGGAAAGGACCCCCCAAATAAAAGGCAATGTCGAATGATGAAGCAAGAGTTTGTTGTCATCGTGAGTTTGCTGATCAACTTGTGTGCTAAGGTATTCCAGCCAGGCTCCACCACCGATTTCCACCACCATCACCATTTGCCAGACCGTAGTTGAACTGAACTGAGAATTGTACCAAAAACTGTACCATCAAATCTATCCAACTCAGAGGGAATCCCTCATCAAGACTACCTTTGATCAAGCTGATTTGACTGACCAAGGTATTTATCACCTCACAACCAAGGTGTAATCTCTCTCTCTCTCTCTCGCAGCTAAACACTATATAAAAAGCTATTAAATATACTATAAAAATATATAAGCTAGAAGCTATAACAAAAAGCTATGTATTATCCTATGCATATATGTGTAAAAAGTTACGACCAATAAATGATATTTGTTATGTTAAGCTGTAGTTGAGTGCATTCTTTCGAGCATATGGTCTCTTGAACCATCCCCATCCTGAGTCCACCCGCCTACAAATGCAACCGAAAGTTGCATTTGTGCACAAGAAAGTGAACTTAATGGCCATTTAGGTTTGTGCATCTGTCCTTAAAGACACAGTGGTGTCAGTCCTGATGACTTAGTCATTACTGACACAATGTTGACCCTATGGTCAAGTGGTGCTAAAGCATGAGGGGGCACTTTGCACATTGTCACAACTGCATATATGTCTTTCACAAAAGTTACATATGCTGCAGGCATTGTTTATGTTGAAAATGGACTGTATATAAAATCACAATAATTGCATAACAAAACGATCTTTATTGATTTAAACTCTCTTAAATCACTCAGGCAATACAGTTTGGATCCCTCTTGAATCTGGTACACTAAACAAGATGGCGACAATGACAGACAACTTACCGAAAAGCATGTGAAAAATCATCCTCTCACAATAAAAACAAAATAAAAAATTTTCTGAATAATAATAATAATAATAAATAATAGTTTACACATTACCCCCAGTCTTGACACCTGCAAGGTATCAATTACATCTTTAGCTGGAGTGAACCGATAATCATTCAAATCTTAAACAATTAATTAATTATTACTGGGTAATGGACACAATTTTGTAACTGGTCTTATGAGCTTTCCAGTAGACGTGAATACTGTAACAACTCTTATCCGACCATCATTACCAGGATGGGTCTATATAATATGACCAATTTTCTATTGGTTTGGAGGAAGTTGTTCATTTTTTAGTAACACAAGGTCACCAATTTCCAAATTTGATGAGGAACAATGCCACTTATGACAAATAACGTGACCACCANTTCTATCCTGATGATGATCCGTTAAGTGGATTGAAAGTGTTCGATTTTAATAAAACTCCCTCAGCAAGCAATAAGGTGGTGGTCACGTTATTTGTTTATTTTTGCTGGGTACGATTGTATTCAATAGCCACTTATGACGTCGGAGAGTTGTCAAATACTCTGCATTCCACTGTCTCCAGAAGTATGAGACTGTTTGTTGTACTAGGGTCTAACATTCAGTCTAGGAAGAGCTATAACACTCAAGTCAGATTCTGGGATAACAATCAAGGGTGCACCTACTAGAAGAGTGGTTCTCAACTGGTGTACATGTACCCCTAAGGGTACAAGCTCAGTGAGTGTTTCTCAACTGGGAGTACATGTACCCCTAAGGGTACAAGCTTAAATTGAAGGGGTACATCTAACTTGAAGCGGTAATCTTTCATTATAAAATGGCATATGTTAATCAATTTGCTGTAAATTATGAACACAAGAAACAACAAAAACTTGCTTTAAAATATCGCAGTGTAAACACCAATTTCCCTTTTAACAGACCAAACAATTTGTTTATCCATTTGATTTGCCTGTCTATTTGTGCCGTTAGTGCCGAGTGAACCTGTACTCTAGTAAAATTACAGTTTAACCGAGCATTAATTTTAGAATAGAAAAAAAAATTTTTTTTCTATTCTATAATTATTGCTCGATAAGATTGGGGCTTTTTGTGTTTTTACTGGACTACTGGTATTAGGAATAACGAGGCCTGGATGGAGGCCTGGTACCCCACCATCGATTGCGTGTCACTGCATGCGCGCATTACTTGATATTTAGCAAATTTATACGTTACGTTTGTTACAAAAATTGAAAGATTCGTGTATTGTTCTGCACATTATAAATTCGCAGCCATTACTTTCAAGGTCAGTACACAATTATAATTGCTATTTAACAACATGGGAACCAAATTTTGAAAAAAATTGCTGAAGATTTATTGCAACAAATATCCCATTAAATTTTGTTAGAAATTATTGTAGAATAATTTAAATTTTCTTTATTGTTAATTATAATTATTTATTTTTAGGAAATGTAATTTATGCATGTATTGAAATGACTTCTCTGATTTTATATAATATACTTATCAAATAATAAAAAATAAATGTATGTACNTTTGTTAGAAATTATTGTAGAATAATTTAAATTTTCTTTATTGTTAATTATAATTATTTATTTTTAGGAAATGTAATTTATGCATGTATTGAAATGACTTCTCTGATTTTATATAATATACTTATCAAATAATAATAAATAAATATATGTACCTGATTAAATTTATTATTTATGTAAAATAAGTAATTCACTTTTAGTTAGAGTTTTTTTTATGGCATTCAGTTAATAGGGTTATAAGGGCTGTATACATCTAATGCAGTAATTATAAAATTTACATACAAAAATATAAGGGGTACTTGAGAAACAACTAATGGGCTAATGGGATACATCAACAAAAAAGGTTGAGAACCACTGTACTAGAAAATGACCAGGTGTTAATACCTGCAAGTAATTGGGATCACTTGACACTGGACAAAGAGAGTGGGAGTTTAAGCATGCTTCCATCTGTGTTAACAATTTGTTGCTTCCCTTTCTGAATACGACAATCTGCTGCCCCTTCTGGACATTAGATTCTGTTGTGTCCCTCCTTCTGGACATTAGAATCTGTTCAGTCTTAACCACTTTGGTCCTTGGAACCAAATCTCACAGTTAATTAATTCAGAGGTAAGAAGTCCTCTTGTTGCACACTCTGCAGGATTATGACTTCCACCAACGTGTTTCCCCTTCACGATAGGAATAGCATTATGTATTTTCTCGACTCTATTGGCAACAAATGTTACCCAATGATAAGATTCAGATGAAATCCATGCTAATACAACGGTGTAATCTGACCATGCAAATATGTCATGTATGGGAACATCAAGATATTTCAATACAGTTTGCAATAAAATAGCCAATAGGACAGCAGCACAAAGTTACAGCCTAGGAAGAGATTGTACCTTGAGAGGAGCAACCTTGGTTTTGGATGT